AGGAGTCAAAGTCTTTAATTCATTCACAATAGAATAAGTCTCCTCCGCAGCCCCTTGCTTTATATCAAGCACGCTTTGGGATTCAGATTATTCGTCACACTCTCTTTCTTTCCCTCCTGCAGGTCATTAAACATGGATTGTGAGAACCAGGAGAAGGATAAAGACGGAAACCCCACGACAACGGGGGCTTTCAATAACGGCAACACGAACAACAGTGAGTGTTACATGAGTGAGTGAAATATAAAGACACAAATCTTTTCTTGGACTTTTCAAAATTCACTTATCATTTTGTGTTTTCAAATCTTCTAATTTTGAAGTCGGTATTGTTTTGCAGGTATTCAGACTATAGACTCCACACAGGCCCTGTTCCTGCCCATAGGAGCCTCTGTGTCTCTGCTAGTCATGTTCTTCTTCTTTGACTCAGTACAGGTGGTCTTCACTATCTGCACTGCAGGTAAGTGCCGCTTTTGAATAACACAAAAACTCTACAGCTGTAGAATTACTGTAATAAGGCTTTCGCATTTCTGTTCAGTAGTTACACACTGGGGAGGGCCTCTTACCTGCGCTGATTATTGAAACTGTGAAGACAATTAACTGCCCCATTAGGCTGACGGAAAACGACTGGAACAAGCAGTCTAGGTGTATTAGGCCATTGGTCTCACTGCTGTGCTTTGTTCTTCTCCTCAGTTCTTGCAACAATTGCATTTGCATTCCTCTTGTTGCCAATGTGCCAGTATCTGACCAGACCCTGCTCCCCACAGAACAAGTAAGAAAACAGTGTGGATTCTTTAATTGTGTCTCTTGTTGCTCAAACAACTCCATGCTCTTTTTTTATGTCTTTTACATATATTTTTTAAAGCTCTGTGATTCAGCATGTTAGTACATCCGCTTCTTCTCAACTCCGACTGAAACTGTGTGCAACCTTTAATACCACTGGGAGTAAGTGGGAAATATGTTTTGTTATTTGAGTGAATATGGTGTATATGTTCTTACTGCATACAAAATCATCAGCTGGACTGACTGGAGTCTGGACATCTTAAGCAATAGTAAAGCACAAGGGATCACCCACAAACCACCTACTCAATAACCAATTTGAACACCTCCTCTCTAGTTACAGATTCAGGGCCTCCTATCTGGTTTCAGTGAACCTTTGTCTGCTTTACAGAGGCAGGAATAACCCAGCCTCCAACCCCAAAACGCTTTTCTGCTCAGTGTTTAAGTTGTTAGGTTTTGTATCTTAGCATGCACACAGTGCATGTGGCACAGGCTATAGTTGGCATATTTATTATCTATGCATTTTAGACCTCTTATTAGATGTGTCTGTGAGCACAGACATCTAGATGCCGATTATTTGGCATTTTGAGGTAATCTGCATCGGCCGACCAATTAATCGGTCTATCACTAGTCAGCAGCACTCTAGTCCAGAAGGAGGTAGTGATGCCCCTAAAGCTGTTTGGTAAACAAACAACAACTCCACAAGAAGAATGCCTGCATTTGAGTTGTTTACTTACAGCAGTAACAGTTATCCATAAACTTCTTCCTTCACTCATACAGAGTGAAGTGTTCTTTGCACTTGGTTCAGCATGTATCACTGTATGCATCACATCATATTTGTCTCATTGCAGGATTTCCTTCGGCTGCTGTGGGCGTTTCACTCTGGCTGAGCTCCTGTCCTTCTCCCTCTCCGTCATGTTGGTGCTCATCTGGGTGCTGACTGGACACTGGCTTCTCATGGATGGTGCGTCTCTCTGTTGTGACTCTACTGTCAGTGTGTTTACGGCACCAGAATTCACTACTCCACCAGGAAGTTTTTTTTTTTCCAAGGTTCACTGGAAATAGTTCTGCAGCAGGTTGTGGACCACGAGGATCTCTTAATTATTGAAGTAGCCAGTTATTCAAGTGTGTGAGGAGAAGTTCTGTTGGCATAGCTGCTGACTTTGATGCTACGCAGTAGAAAAAATACCCATAGTCATCCCAATCTCAGTCAATCCGTAGACAAGATTCAGTTTTCGTCATCTGCTGGAGAAGAAGGAACTTGACATGACTCATACAATGTGAAGTTTCAGCAACACTATTTTAGTTTTACTGTAGTGCACTGCATGCTAACACAGGAAGAATATACTCATATTGGCTATTTAAAACATATAAGCGAACTGGTCTTGATCAATGTTATTATATTAGTGAAACACAGACAAAGCAGAGAATGGTGTGTGGGTGTGTGCGCACTTCTTTTATTTGACCCAGTTGACTTGAAATTTGAAACACATTATTGGCAGTCTTCTTCAAAAATGTGAACAACGCACCCCTGTGACAAATGGCAACACTTCATCATCAAAAGTAAACACACCAAGAGCACAGATGAAACTGTTTGGATAATAATCGTAGGTAAAATTCACAGAGCTCTTAAAAAAGAAGTTTAACACAAGCTCGATATCCTTACTGTCTGTGTCCCTGCATTGGAACTATTGGGACTGCATTGTATTATTATTTATGTTATACCCCCATGTTTGATCTCAACACCATCTTGCGTCTTGTCAGGTCAGACCTCATGAACCCAAAAGTGAATTAGGACATGAGCAGATGAATTTCATCAGAAAAAGTCAGACTAATTAATTAGGCCTGTGTGCACAGTAATTAATGTTTCTTAAATAAACTTTCTAAAATCAGTTCCCATGTTGCTATTTCAGTTCATTTCCGCTAAAATGTGAAACTGTTTTTTAATTATCGTGTTTTTCCTCCTTGCAGCTTTAGCCATGGGCTTGTGTGTCGCCATGATAGCCTTCGTGCGGCTTCCCAGTCTGAAGGTGTCTTGCCTGCTGCTGTCAGGACTGCTCATTTATGACGTGTTCTGGGTAAGATCAATCTCATCTAAAACTTCACCCCCACCACAGCTGACATACAAGCCACTGCCATAAGATAGAGCAACAAGACTGTATATAAGGACACACTCATTTAAAGAAAATGTCCACAAATATTATCCCTCTATTAGACTTCATACCAAATAGTAATGATTTGGTTTATGAAAGTCCATACATTTGTTTTCTAAACATACATGATACTTCTTACCAGATTATTTGCTTAGGAAGTAATACATTTAACATTTTCCAGCAGCAGTGAGTTTTGAAGAAGCTGTTTAGTTAGCACTGATGCTGAGAGCTACCTAGAAAATTCAACCTTCATAAACAGAAATGAATCAGATAAATTACTAGAAAGGACAGTATGTGTCGCTCTGAGCCCAAACTAGGATAAACATCACTATTTCCTCTGAGAAATAAAAAAAAAACATTTATGTCTACCTGTCTTTTTCTTTTAGTTTATCAGCCATATCTGGTGATTTATACCTACTTTGGATCAGTGCCTTTGCTGAGCACAAAACACAAAAGCAACGGCCACTTTACAGCTTAAATGTCACCAGAGTTGAGGGGAAGCAGTGTTACATGAATAATGATTTTAATGAGGCTTTGTATCAGTGAGTTAGTGGGTGACAGAGGCAAGTTTGAGTTGTTTGATGAACTGTAGTGTGTATTTTCCATAATTTAATTAAACCACAGAACATAATAATCAGATTATATCTCAATCTGAGGATAGTAGAGCTCAAGGGGATCTATGAGCACCTGCTTTTAGATGTATTATCTATTTATTCAGATAATAAGAGATTTGTTCACATAGTTGCAACCATTAAAGATAAGTAGAAAGTAACACTGTCATGAAAAACTGAAGGTTCTGCACACACATTCAAATTCAAACAGAACCAATCATATCTGACACTGCACAACAAATTGCTTCTGGTGATGTTTTACCGGTGAGCACATTTTCTACAATTTCTCTCACCTTTAGCATTGTGGGACGCCTTGCAACCTGCCAGCTCACCACTGCCTTCAGTGTTATTTCCCAACTGACCCTGACCATTAATGTTCACAATAATGTTATGTTGGATAAATAAATCCCCTACCTGTACCTGTTTCAGGTTGAGATTGAGTCTACTTGGATATAAATCAGGTATACAGGTGATATAACATTAAACTGCAGCAGCAGAACATTTGGACATTTGTAATTTAGAGCTGAAATAATCCGTAGTCTTCATATGATTGGAAAGTTGTTGTTTTTTATAGTTGGTCAGACAAATTTAGCAATAAAAGGCATCATTTGGGCTCTGGTAAAGTGTAAATGTTTCCTTTTTTCCCCCTCCCAGGTGTTCTTTTCAGCCTACATCTTCAATAGTAATGTGATGGTCAAAGTTGCCACCCAGCCTGCTGAAAATCCGATAGATGTTCTGTCCAGGAAGCTCCACTTGGGGCCAGGGATGGGCCGCGACGTCCCCCGTCTCTCCTTACCTGGCAAACTGGTCTTTCCCAGGTAAGACTGATGTAACCACAGGGAGGAGAGTAGTGCAGCGTGTGAGCTTTACACATTCATTCAGGATATTTCCCTCATCTGCTGTTGATCTGCTTCTACTAAACGTGTGCTCTTTCTTGCACTCGGTGCAACAAATAGTTGTGTAAGAAATGACACAATAGTCACAAAGAGAAGTTCAGACTTGGCTTACTTTCTCACTTCCACCCCAGCGGAGGGACAAGTGGGTGTGAATGTCGGATTGGCCATTTTGGCAAGTTACAGAAAAACATTGTACGGGTGGGGGAGGAAAGGGTTTCCTAAGCTATTCCACTGTCCGAAAGGCTTTTCTGACGGAGTGTACTGGTGCCTTAATGCTGGGCTGAGTTGACCTTCTCTCTCCTGCTTTCTCTGGATTAGGGTGTCTCTATAGCTTGTATGTAAATAGTTTGTTTGATCTTCTGCCATTTGTAGAATTTAAAAAACCTTTTGCTTCAAATATGCAATGTCTCTGTAGTGAGTTTGTAACTATTTGGCTAAATAATGTTGATGTTCAAGTGTGTGTATGTAAATTTCTATTGCTGTAAACCAGTCAGAAACAGCTGTGCATTTGCGATGCAGTTTTTAGTGAGGTATTTATTGATCAAACAGTTAGACATAAACAAGAAGTGGTTTTCATTATTCTTTTAGTCAATGGTTCAGTCACTGATTGTAGTTTTTTTTTATTCACATACAAGTGCGGGGAACAACTAGCACAACTTCCATGGTAGACCAGACTAAGTCAGTGAAGTTAGCAGTTACTGAAACAAACTTATTAAACCGTATTCATTACGCAGAATTAAATATATATATATATATATATATATATATATATTCAATTTAGGGCAGTGGTTGTTAAGACTACTTGAAAGCATAATTTGGGACAGGCAGCTGCGTGACACTGAGGAAATCGGACTTTGTCAGGACCTAAATGTGTGTACAGACACAGTAATAAAATACAAATGGTAGACTTTTGTTGTACACGACGCATACTAGCTTTGGACCATTTTTAGCGTTCCTGTATTCGACCATCCCAAACGTGTTTCTGCTTTTTTTTCTTGTCCATGCAGCTCCACAGGAAGTCACTTCTCAATGCTGGGAATAGGAGACATCGTGATGCCAGGGCTGCTGTTATGCTTCGTCCTGCGCTACGACAACTACAAGAAGCAAGCCAATGGGGAAGTCCCGGGGCCTGGTAACATGTCCGGACGCATGCAGCGCGTCTCCTATTTCCACTGCACTCTCATCGGATACTTTGTGGGTAAGCAAGCAATCGATGGATGGATGGATGTAAAAGGTTACAGGTTTTATTGTTGTTAGGAGGTGATAGTTTTAGTTGTTTCTGCGCTATTATTTTGGTATTTTTCAATCTTTTTGAGCATCCTTTTTTTTGCGACTGCGTCTTCAGGTCTGCTGACTGCCACTGTGGCCTCCAGGATCCATCGTGCTGCTCAGCCTGCTCTGCTCTACCTGGTGCCCTTCACCCTGCTGCCTCTGCTCACTATGGCCTACTTAAAGGTACGCTGACAGCCCGCAACAGTCATTTAACTGAGATGGAAGTTCAGGTGCTGCGGTTGCTGCAGAATTCAGCAGTTTGATTGAATTCTATAAATCTACTTATAAAAAGAAATGAACCCTTGAAGGATATCTAAAAGACATATGAACCATGCAGAAAAAATGGAGATGAATAAATATTTTTAGCAGAATGCCACCCACAGTTCAACAGTGCAGCTTATGTACTTCACATATTGTTTCTATTTATGGTGACACATCCTGTTGAAGTGTATTAATTTTTTCTAATCGTATAATAAAATGATAGTAATCGTGGTTGTAAGTTCAAAACAAGGTTAACAGTTACACCTCTGCTAGAAAATATTCTAACTTCAGCAAAAACAATGGCTAGTATGTGTTTTATTACGTACCTGATCTCACAACCTTTTCTCATTTGTTTTTAGATAAGGCAGTAGAGTCAATATTCATCACTGACTTATTGTCTGATTTAATAATCATTTTAAAAAGCTAAAAACAAAGTTTGGAGGCTGTATAATGACAGAATATGTGCACAGGAGTATAAATAGTTCATCATTTTTTATTATATATATAGTTTATTATTTTTACATCAGTTAAAGTGGAAGTAAAGTTTTCTAGGTGAAGACGTATCAGAAAAACATTTGATTCAAGACCCATGACTCGTGTCCAACCTGGTGTCTGTGGTCCACAGGGGGATTTGCGGCGCATGTGGTCCGAGCCCTTCCACGCCAAGACCAGCAGCTCCCGCTTCCTGGAGGTATGATGCACCCTGGGATAAACGACCAGCGCGGGGAGGACTGCGGATCCTTTACCCTAATTAGAGGGAAGGAGAGAGGGCGCACTCACAGTGAGGCCATGTTGTCATCACTTGTTCATGCTTTCCGCCAATCTTCTGTGAAAAACCCTCAGAAGGACACCAGTGTGTGGATCACAACGCCCCAACACGACTCATCTTTGGTCCCTACATCCTCCCCCCGTTTCATCTCCGCTTCCTCTTTTCTGTTTATTTCCGTTTCATTATAGAACATCCTGCCTATGCTGTTTTTGTTCTGCCCCCCCCCTCCCTCCCCGCCTCCTCTCTTTTTTCCTTTTTCCCCTCTCCTGTAGTCGGTCTCATTTGCCACTTCCCTCCTGTGGCCCGTTCCATTCGTCAGGCCTCTTCTCTCTTCTGCGTTTTTTCCTCTTTTCTCTTGCGTCTTTAATTTTTCTCTGCATCTCTGTTTGTCACCGACTCAGATGAACTCGAGGGCCAGGCCTCCCCCTTTTTGTGGACTTAGGGTTGTGAGACATGGCTGGGGTTTATATCTATTTTTTTAGCATTGTCGTGGTCATTATTATTATTAATATTATTATTATGGAACGATTTAAACAAACGGAGAAGAGGCGGAGTGTTGCAGTGGCACAGGACCGTGCTCGGGACCAGCAACAGTAAAGAAGAAGAGTCTTCCCCCTCCATCCGTTCCCCCCTTCCCCCCCTCCCCGCTGTCTTCATCTGTCCCATCATCCCACCACAACGGCTTCTTTCCCAGCGCTCCTC